GCAGTGGAAGAAGAAAACACACTGTGATTGGGATGCTGTCCGTGTTTGCTGGGAGTGAAGCAGAAACCTGGGGCTGCCCTGGCATGCCTGTGGCCAGGGCACCGGGTGCAGAAGTCCTTGGGTCCTCTGGAGGCAGCTACCCTCCCATGCAGCTGCAAATGGGCCTCAGCATCCATGGAGCCAGCACCATAGGGATGCTTTCCACATGATGAGGATCTCAGAAGAGGTCGAACCGGCTTCTTCCTGAGAGAGGGTGGGACTGGCCATGAAGGGAGATGAGGGTTAAGAGCGTTGTTTTCTGTGCAGGGACTCCTCATAATGACACCAGGATGGGAGCAGCCCTGGACTGAATTGTCTGACTTTAGCACGTTCTTTATCTTTCACAGATCTTCATTTTCCACGTGTAAAATGGCAACAACCGTCCCCACCCAGTCAGACATTCTGTAAGGACCGAATGTGATTATGTGCACAGAGACTGCAGTGCCCAACACGGAGAACATGTGCAATAGCTGTTGAGGGTGAACTTACGCAGAGTCACAAGTGCTGACCATCTTGTCTATCCTGTATGGGATGTGACACGTGCGCGTCAGGGCTATAAAGGAGGAAGGACACTGAACGCAGCCTGCTTGGGGCAGGGGCACGGTCCAGTACTCAAGGGAGGTCCTCTCCAGGGGTTTACCTTGGTTCTCCAGCTGGGACTGACTTAGATAAGTTGTCCTTTCCTCATCTCTGAGGCCCTGGAGACAAAGTCTCAGACAGTGAAGATGAGGGAGGGGGAGGAAAACCAGAATTTCTTTCTCTCTGTGTTTGAAAGGCCCGTTCCTGGAGCCTCTGGCGGGTGAAGGGGAGAACTGGGCTTTCACTGTTTGGTGGAGATTCCTGGGCCCTGGTCTTGACTCCAGTGCTGGGGTGTTTATTTAGGTTAAAATGTATTCATTGTTCCTTTTAGTGCATTCCTTACCTTAAGTGCTTATTAACTTTCTAGGGAAATCTGATGGATTTGTTTAAAGATGATTTCAAAGTATTCTGAGTTCTTTTAAAGTATGCTTTTTGTTGTGTTTTAGAGGACAATAAGATTGTGTAACCCAAGGCTACTTGTTAAGAGTTCAGTGAATATTAATGGGATAATACAAAAGCGAAGATCAAAGCCGCCTGTTTAGGGTTTAGTCAGTGGCTAGCCCATCCGCGTGGACATACGGCTGTTATCTGAGAAGAGGGAAAAGTGGCTGCTCAGAACACAGGAACTGCAAAGGAAGCTGACTTCATCAGTCCTCGGTGGCCTAGGTCATAAGGACAGGGTCCCCAGTCTGGGGCTGTCTAGCCCTCACTGCCTGTTAGGCGGCTGATCAGCATTGTCTTCCAGCTCTACCTTTGCAACTATCCCATGAGATTTTACATATTGTGTTTAAAATCAAAGAACATTACATCTCCCCTGCTCTGCCGTAGGGTCTTTCCATTGGCCTGGAATAGATAATATCCATTTGCATAGTCTGTGATGAAAGGGTTTGTTAAGCAAAATATCAGTATAAACAAGACTTCAGAGAGGATGTTTCCAGTGCAAACACTTGGAAGCACTCACGAGTCAAGTGCAAGCAGTTTACAAACTACAGATGTCTGAGCTGGGGAGTGTGTGCTTAGGGATGTCTCTGTGTTTGTACTTCTATTTTTACAATCCATCCAAGTAGGTCCTATTACAATCCTCATTTAACAGAAAAAGAAACTAGGGGTCCGAGTGATTGAGTAGACCTTCTAAGGTCACATAGCCAGAAAACAGCAAAGCCACACCGTAGTTTTACCAGCAAAGACAGAGTCTCAAGAAACATGTGTATCTGATGTGTGAAGGGTGAGAGAATGTCCAAGGGAGCAGGTAAGAGCACAACCAACTGAAGCGGCTTACACACCTGGGGATGACTTTTCTCCCTTAACGAGAAGGCCACAGAGAAGCGTTTTCCAGGGTTTGTTCTGTTGTTTGGCAATGCCTAGGGGGCTGTCCTTGTGATGCTAGGGGTGGTTTTGAACATCTTTCCCTCACAGGACAATGTTGGAAGGCAGGAGGGAGGGCTGGCAAAGTGTGCTCTACTCATGTGTGTCTCATTTTTTAAACAGAGAGAAAAATCTCTCCCAGAAGTTTTCCTTGGAAAATTTTTCCTTCCAGACCAGGCTGGTCACAGGCTCTTGCCCAGCTGCAGTGCACTGCTGGGGATTCGTGGGCTCAGCAACGGGAGGAGACGCTTCTGTTAAAGCAAGTGTGGGAGAATGCTTTTCCTGCTGCAGTAGCCTTAACCCCCCGAGAACTGGGAGCTGTCCGAAGCCCCAGCTTTGAGCACCTCTGCAGTAAAGACTACAAGTCTATAATAAGGCTGTAAACTTGGGTGGGACGCCTTTGTCCTCTCTTGGTGACTGTTTGATTATTATAACTCGTTTTTAAACAAAGAAAGGATGAACTGTTGGAGCACTGAACTAAATGGGGAAAAGTTTTTGAAAACACCTTCCACCCAGTAAGAAGGTGAGTGTAAATGACAGCTGTGGTAACAACGGCTAGCGTGGACCACAGGCTGTGCTAAGAACTTGGCCTGTGTTATTCTCATTAATCTTCATCACAACGAGGAGAATCCCTATTTTATTTTATTGAGACAAGGTCTTACTCTCTCGCCCAGACTGGAGTGCGGTGGCGTGATCTTGGCTCACTGCAACCTCTGTCTCCCAGGTTCAAGTGAGAATCCCCATTTTATAGCTGAAAAGACTGAGGCTTCCAGAGGCTAAAGCAATTTGCCCACCACCACATGGCTAATACCTCACACAGCCAGCCCGGAAGCACAGCACCTCGTGACGCCCCTCCTGTGCTGCCTCTGGGTTAGTGGGTTAGGTTCCTTTCCCTGTTTGCTCTGAGAGAGGCCCTTTATTGGGGTGCAACAAAGCAGTCACTACTCCCCATGTCCCCTCAGTAGTTCCTGGGGCTCTGTCCTTTTGGTCTCTTTCTTAACCAGCTCCTGGGTCCTGGGGATGCTGTCCTCTTTTGAACTTTGCTTTGTTCCCTGCTGGTCACTCCTCTACTTCCTTGTCACCTGAAGGGCCATCCACAGTAGCATCCTCTGCAGGGGATGAGGCAGGGTAGGACCGTGGTCCTGATTGAATCCTCTATTCGAGCCTCCTTTAGACTGTCACGTTGGTTTCCCACTCCTTTGCAAAATAAAGTATGTGTGGAAGTTTTGGAATCACAATTCTCCTGATGGAATCACATTCCCAGGTATTTTCTTGCCTAACCAGCCTTTATAACCAGAAATGCAATAGTGGAAAGATTCTTCTGCTGTCCAAAGCCAGTCTCTAGGCTTGTGGGCTGGTCTTTTTTGTTCCTGATGTCTCTTGCACCTCAGGGAGGAAATGAACAGGTCAGGAACCTGGGCACAAAGATATTATGCAACCTTGAAATTCGTCTCCACTCTGTACTGCCTGGGGCATCTTCTCTACTGGCGCGAAGACCTAGTATTTATTGCTTATCTCATTATTTAACATTTCATGTGTGGTGGAGGCTCCAGATTGAGCAGAAGCTGGGGTTACAGACATGTCTGGGCGTCTGATGAACTCACTGAGGCAAGCTCAGAGCCAGTGTAGATTTGCATGGTCTTTATTTAAGAAAAGAGGAGCATGAAGTGGTGAGCTCAGCCAGTGATGTTTGTCCTGGAGACGGGTCCCTCTGCCCTGCACCAGGAATGTGAGTCTGAGCCTCTCACTGGAGAGTGAGGCTTCAGGCACAAGTGAAGGATCAAAAGTCTGGGAGTCTTGGAGGCACAAGAAGCCTTCTGGGGAAGCCAAACATGACCCAAAGTTAGGGAAGGGACGATTCTAGTTTCTGTAAGGGGCAGAGCATGGCTTTCTTGCATGCAATGTGCACAGTAGGTACCCAATGACTATGCACTCATTGGAAAGGAGAGGGGAGGAAAGGAAAGAGGGACAAAAGGAAAGAGGGAAGGACACTTGAGGAATTTAGAGGGCTAAGCATCACTTGAAGGACATATACTTTGAGAGTCCTAGAACACTCTACTCAAGTCACACACTTCTCAGCTATCATGCTGAGTCCTGAATCTAGGCCATGAAGGCCCTTGAGAAGTCCTGGGACAGCATTCATGAGCAAAGGATGTCTAAGAAGAGTACAGAGAATACTAGGTAGTGAAGTCTAATTTTACAGAAACACCCTCCAGCCCCACAGGAAGAACCAGGTGAGGCTTTGTGGGTGTAACCTGGGTGGTATGCCTTTGTACTCTCTTGGGTACAAAGAGAGTGGGTGGGTGGAAGCAGGCTGTGGGACATGATTGTTTAGCTGTGAAGGGCACAAGGTACCTGGCTGTGGGGTGATGGGCTCAAAATCCACCCTGCTATCTGCTTGTGAAGCTTTGGCTGGGTCTGGCTGCAGTCACCGAAGGAGCTGCCTTATTCTAAGTGCACATGGACTAGCAGCGGCTTCCAGAGGAGCGGTGACTTTGACTCTGTTTGTCACAGGGCTGGGAAGCCCCCAAGGAGACTTTGAATACATGCTGTACAGGGACAGTTGTCTTCCTTGTGGCAACTTTTCAGCAATCATTTATTGATCAATTCATTATTGCTTACTTTGGTCTTATGAAACTGACAGAGATACAATTGTATTTCTAGCTATATAGCTGGACGTAAATTTTCAACCTTGATTGTAAACCAAAGGCATAGAAGTGTGGGGCTAAGAGGCAGGAGCACGTGATCTGGGTTGGAATTATACCTCTGCCTTTGGAAGACTGATTGAAACTCTCTGTGCCTCTGCTTCTTACTTTGTAGGATTTTCATGAGGATTAAATGGGCTGGCATTCATAAAGCTCCTAGGACCTGCTTGGTGCTTGCACAGAGGTCAAATGTGCCAATTTGTGGTTTACATGGAATACCTCCATTCCTGCCTGTCCTCCTGTCTCCACCTGCTGCCACTGGAGGGGTTGCTTGGAGCTTTGCAATAATCTTTCTTTCATCCATGGAGAAAGGAGAAGGCGGTCCAAGGCAGGGAGTGCTTGGGGGAGCCTCCTGCAGGAATGCGCTCTGTGGACCTTGCTCAGTTCAGACCAACAGGTGTTCTTTGCATTCCAGGCCTGTTTTCTTCCAGGAATGCACAGGTGAGTATTTCATGGTCCCTTCTTCATTTCCTCCTGTGGGTATTTTCAGGTATCCTTGACAATATAAATACTTCTGGGTAGTTTGCAGGCATATCACGAGGTGGCTCGGCTCAGTCAGACTCCTTTCTTAGTTGCATGGAGGCATGGGGATTATAACAGGGTGGCATGGAAGCTTGGGGATTAAAACAGGGTCTCATGGAGGCGTGGGGAGTGTAACAGTGTGGCATGGAGGTGTGGGGATTATAACAGGGTGGCACGGAGGCATGGGGAGTGTAACAGGGTGGCATGGAGACGGGATTATGACAGGGTGGCATGAAGGTGTGGGAATTATGACAGGGTGGCATGAAGGCATGGGGATTAAACAGGGTGGCATGGAGGTGGGATTATAATAGGGTGGCATGGAGGCGTGGGGAGTGTAAAGGGTGGCATGGAGGCATAGGGATTATAACAGGGTGGCATGGAGGCATGGGGATTATGACAGGATGGCATGGAGGCGTGGGGATTATGACAGGGTGGCATGAAGGCATGGGGATTAAACAGGGTGGCATGGAGGCATGGGGAGTGTAAAGGGTGGCATGGAGGCATAGGGATTATAACAGGGTGGCATGGAGGCATGGGGATTGTGACAGGGTGGCATGGAGGCATGGGGATTGTGACAGGGTGGCATGGAGACATGGGGAGTGTGACAGGGTGGCATGGAGGTGTGGGGATTATGACAGGGTGGCATAGGGGCTTGGGGATTATGACAGGGTGGCATGGAGGCATGGGGAGTGTAACAAGGCGGCATGGAGGCGTGGGATTATAATAGGATGGCATGGAGATGTGGGGGGTGTAACATGGTGGCATGGAGGCATGCATGGAGGTGTGGGGATTATGACAGGGTGGCATGGAGGCATGGGGATTATGACAGGTGGCATGGAGGTGTGGGGATTATGACGGGGTGGCACGGAGGTGTGGGGATTATGACAGGGTGGCATGGAGACATGGGGAGTGTGACAGGGTGGCATGGAGGTATGGGGATTATGACAGGGTGGCATAGGGGCTTGGGGATTATGACAGGGTGACATGGAGGCATGGGGAGTGTAACAAGGTGGCATGGAGGCGTGGGATTATAATAGGATGGCATGGAGATGTGGGGGGTGTAACATGGTGGCATGGAGGCATGCATGGAGGCGTGGGGATTATGACAGGGTGGCACGGAGGTATGGGGATTATGACAGGGTGGCACAGAGGCGAGGGGAGTGTAACAGGATGGCATGGAGGCATGGGCATTATGACAGGGTGTCATGGGGGTGTGGAGATTATAACAGGGTGGCATGGAGGCATGGGGAGTGTAAGAGGGTGGCATGGAGGCATGAGGGATTTTGACTGAGAAGAGAGCAGACTTACTCATTTTGAAAGTGGGAACATTTGAGGGTCTCACCAAAAGTGAGCAACATCATGGGAGAGGGCTTTAGAAAGGGCACAGAGGACTGGCAAACTCAAATTCACCTCTTTTCCAAAGCTCACAATGGGTCCCCCTGAGCAGTGCATGGAAGGAGGAGACACTGTTTCTTCTCTTGGTCCCACTTTCTAATGGCGAGTCCCTCTTGTTGGGACCCAGAACTCTTAATAAAACAGTACCTACTTAGTACCTACTTTGTGGATTAAATAATCTTTTGCTATGTAGCCTAAGAAAATGACTCTGTCATTCACTCCAGCCTCTTGAGGGAGCTCCACCCCCCAGTGTCCTTTCCCTACCTGGCATCCCCTACTCTCTCACTCCCCGAAATGTCCTGTGTCAGGGCCAAGGAATCTCCTGGCTGGGGGTGCTGGTGGGAAGGGGAAAGTAGTTAGGGGCTCTTGGGTCCTCACGGCTATGCTCATTCACATCACCCTCTTTCAGGGAGTAGCAGGTGAGAGCAGAGTTTATGCTTTTTCAGCTCTTGGCCCTTTTATTGTGCATTAGTCCGTCTGCATAAAGAAACACATGAGGCTGGGTAATTTATAAAGAGAAGAGGTTTCTTTGTCTCATGGTCTGCAGGCTGTACAAGCATGGCGCCAGCATCTGCTTTTGGGGAGGCCTCAGGAAGCTTCCACTTATGGTAGAAGGTAAAGGGGGAGCAGGTGTGTCACACAGTGAGAGAAGGAGCAAGAGAGCTCTCAGGCTCTTTTAAACAACCAACACTTATGGGAGCGAACAGAGCAAGAACTCACTATTTCTGTGGGGAGGCCACGAAGCCACTCATGAGGGGCCCACCTGTGACCCAAACGCCTTCCAGCAGGACCCACCTCCAACATTCCAACATTGGGATCACATTGCAACTTGAGATTTGGAGGGGAGAAACATCCAAACTACATTACGGAGATACACTGTTTTCCCACATGGTGTGAAAGGATGGGCTAGGGTGACGGATGAGCCTGGGACACCTTCCATGTAAGGGAGCTCCCTCTAGCTCTGCTCTAGGTCTTGGGAACAAATAAATGTGTATCTTCCCTTTGCTCTTCTATTCTGAAGAGAAATGAGCCCTGCTAGGGGCTGAATTGCATCCCCTTATGTCTCCCATCCAAACTTGTATGCTAGAGTCCCAATTCCCAGTACCGAAAAATTCGGCCTTATTTGGAGATAAGACCTTTAAGAGGCAATTTGGTTAATACTGGGGCAGTGTGCTGGGTGCTACTCCAATCAGACTGGCGTCTTCATAAGAAAAGAAAATTTGGACACACACAGTGATACCAGGGGTGCTCACACAGAGGAAAGGCTGTGTGGAGACCCAGCAAGGAGGAAGCCACCTAGAAGATGATGAGGAAGGCCCCAGGAGAGCCCACACTTCCTGACACCTTGATCCTAGACTTCCTGACTACGGAACTGTGGGACTACAGATGTCTGTTTAAGCACCCCAGGCCTTGGGACACTGTCATGATGGCCTGAGCAGACAAATACAAGCACCATCCATTCTCCGTGCTCCACCAAAGACCAGAATCAGTGCATGGAGCAAGAGGAAAGGGACAGAAATAAACCAGCTTATGAGGCAGAGATTCTGTGGCCCACACATTGTTCCCATCTCAATCAGCCGGCTCAGGGGCGGGGCCTGTGAGTAACAAAGGGGCAGGGCCTGTGAGTAACAGACAGGGAGCATCTGTCCTTGCTATCTTCCTTGCCTTCCACTCCAGAGAGGGAGAACCTGCAGCTGATCTGGGTGCGTGTCTGGATAAGGGCTAGGATTTGGCCAAATATCATTCCATCTCATCACACAATTAACACTAATTGTCATTTATAACTTCACTGTCGTTGGAAAACATGTTCTAAACTACTAACAAGAGTTTACACATCTTATTTTTGGATTGCAACTGGACTGGCAATATTTGTAGATGTATTATCTACTCTCAAATTGTATACACTTTTTTTTTTAACTGATGTATCGTATAGTTCAACCTTTGCCCTAATTTAGGCGAATCTTTCTGTAATTAGTTCTAATTGCTGTACCTGTCAGGTTGAGTAAATGGTTTTGAAAGATTTTGTATAGATAAGTCATAGGCTAAAGAAGTCCTTTTTATGGTACTGTAACTAACAGACAAAACTGATGGGAAATTTTAGCATTTTGGTATTTGAGATGCTGTCTCCTATTTGTAGAAAACACTAACTTTGACACATTGAAATGCTAGGAGTGGGCAATGTTTTGCTAAATGAATTGCCGTGAAATATTTTGACTTTTGCCGCAGTCCTCAGTACCTTATAAAAGGAAATGGGAAATGATGTGGGGAGTTGGGGAGGGATAACTTGGGGAGAATTGCCAGATATAGGTGAAGGGGAGGAAGGCAGCAAATCACACTGCCATGTGTGTACCTATGCAACAATCTTGCATGTTCTTCACATGTTCCCCAAAAACCTAAAACACAATAAAAAATATATAAAATAAATAAAAGGCAATGATGCACTTACTATGCATCCTTTAAAAGGGTAAGTTCCACAGACATTGTCTCAAACAATGTAGGTGAATATTTCCAACCAGCTCATAGCTATCAAATCCTGCTTGAGGTTTTATAAAAACGATTTGAAAAACATTTTTTAAAAGCTCACTCTGTTCCTAGCACTGAGCTAGGATGAATGAAGTTTGGTGCTTGCCCTAAAGGGACCTACAATTTAGTAGATCTGATTCATAGTCACTAAAGAAATTCCCTTTAATGCTCATTATTTCTGGAAATGAAAGGAGATAATCATATAATAAAGTTCTAGGCCAAATGCTAGGCCTATAATCTAGTGTTCCATAAATGTTAGCTATTATTGTCATTATTATAAGACAGAGTAAAAGAAATACAATGGTATACTTTTTTGTTTTCTGTCTTGTTTTACCCACTAGTCACCTTCAGGGCAATGCTTGTAAAAGTAATGTTAATGATTACAGAAGTCTATAAATGCCTTCTCAAGCGTTTGCTGACTACAGTATCACCTTTTCTATGGAGGGATAAAAAAAAAGCAGTCACTTTCCGTGGGTAACAACGTGCTGATCTTCAAGCATTTTGCAATTCAGATGTTCCATTTCACTCTCTCTAACAGCTTGGAGAGTTATTTTCATTTTATCTGGTTGTAGGACCCAGGTTTGAAGGTTTAACATACCCCTTTACCCCCATCTTCTTGCCAGCATTAGCTGTTATCCACTGATTCTTTTTTCTTTTACAGGAGTGAGGCCTCAGGATTTAAGACTTTTGGTTGCTGTTTGACTTACATTTTTTCACTTTAGGGTAATGCATGTACTGGGAAAAATAAACGATTGTAGCTGAAGGATGAGGCCCAGATGAAGCTCAGGGAAGTGGGGGATCCCTGGCAAGAGTGTGGCCCCATGTGCGCGAGCCCTCTCTGTGCTGTTTTGATGGGGGAGGGCCGCTCACAGGGCTCACGGGAAAGGAAGCAAGCCTGGTGGGGTGGCTGCATTGTAAGAATAAATTCCATCTGATTTACAAAGTCCTCGTGGCAGCTTTCTGTGACTCTGGCAACTAACCGATCCCACTAATGGACAGGG